CAAACACTCGCAGTTTATATACAAGTAAATATGACCACATCATACTATAAAGTAGAAAATAAAAATTATATAAGATCAACCCAAAAAGTGGCTCTGATTGTGAGCGACTGTAACTAATAAATTGTCAATAACTTAAGGATGATAAATCGCATAGTAGTAGTCAATAGGTCAAGTGGAAGCTTATAATAAGAGGAATGTGAATATACATATAACATAGTGACCTAATAGTTATACAATAAGAGTATATATATATATATATCCTAGCAGTTACCGTTCACTTATTCTTCGTCAGGACATAACACTTTCACTTAAAGCTCTTGGATTACAGTTTTTCAATAATGAATAGTAAAAATATGATAATTTCGACTTTGTGAATATTTCCTTAATAGATATGAATAACATATTTCTTCTTTGGTGATATTAAATATGAATGGTATGTTATTGAACAATAATCATGAAAAAATTTTAAAGGTGTAATAATACGATTTTAAGTTACAAAATAACAACAAGAACAAAACAAGACTAAAACATATTTCAGAAACTAATTAGAGTCAAGGCAGGATAAGAGGTTTGACGTATCATATTTGCATGCAGAGTTCGCGTTTGAATATGTTGGTTGCCAAAGCCTCAGCAGTGCATAGATTTTGATTCGAACTTTCTTTGGTTCATTCCATTTGCTTGTGTTGATTATCTTGAATGAAGACTTCTTTAAAGCAACGAGTACTCTTTTGGACTGTCAGTGTTTTCTCAGGATATTGTCTTGGTGTTAAGTCCCCATCACCGAATGTAGGTAGATAGATATATCTGACGAGTATCTGTCGAAGCTGAAGTAGTTCATCATCTCTTGTGTCACGAAAACATAGTTTTCGGTGATAAAGAGTGAATTTGGTTTCTTCTTCTATTAAATGAGACCCAGTTGTGGAAAAGTTGGTGACTTTATCTCGTTGAGAGTAAACCATGAACCTAGGTTTCGTGTTAACTGGGACTCATCATAAAGGTTTGCCTGGAGTCTTATGGGATTGTGTTAAGTCGTCTTCTCAAAAGTTAAGGAGTTACTTTAGATATGGCTTCATCTTTCATGTGGTTGGAGCTGCGGTTCATGTTCTCAGTGGTTACTAGCTCGAAGGCAAGTCCTGACAAAACAATGGGGAGCAAACTTACTTCGGAGACTTAAGTATTCATGTCTCATGGAGACATAGTGTTCCTGATAAGATACTTAGGTTTCGACTTACTATCTACCTCTAATTCCCCAATTGTTTTAATGTTCTTCTGAAGCTTACGGGAGTCTATCTTGCTTTATATGGACCTCCAGATCTTCGAGTCGTCCACAGAGTTTGGCGCTGCTGAGTAAATATTGTCTAGAATGTCATCACTAAGGATCAGGAAAAGGAATGGGCGCAAGATGGTTTTCTGTGAAACTCAAGGTGTCGAGACTCTCCTGCTTCCGTGCACTTTAATTACCTTGTTCTGAAACATACTGTCATCTTGGTAAGTTAAAAGCAAGAACAGAAGCTGGTCAGTAAAACCAGTGGGATGTGTAGTAATTAGACGGACAACTTGGCGAATTCGAGAAATATAACATGGACCGGTATATGTTAGTCCTATCAATTTATTCAACTGTCCCGTATAACGTGAAGATTTGATTGCTCATGAACGTCATTCCTGAGTCCATGTTGCGCTTTGCGGAGGACATTCTCATGGTCCATGTATTCCCTCGTCTGATCACTAACCCGTTATTCAATTGTCATCAAATATATTATGACTAATAGGATTTTCCTGAAGCACTTTGCGTCTTTCCTGAATCCAAACTTGACAAATAAGAAGTTCACTAATATCATATTTCGAATGGTTTCAAATAGTTCTGGGTGTAAAAGGGAAGCTTTCGCTTGACGGGCTTCTGTATCTGGCAGCAGAGAATCAATGATGCCGCAAAGTATGAAACTAAGTATATCTAACGATAAAAGAGAAAAAAGTTTCGGCAAATAATAACGAGAGACCGTACTCTGTCCTTAAGAATATATCAAGTTTTCTCATAAGAACTTCTGAGAAGTCGCTTGTACTAGCTCAGCTGGCGGCGAATCACATTACATTAGACCACTTTTAAGGAGTAGATTGTGTGCCCACGTTCCGTTCCTGAAGGTTACCTGTATTGACCTCCTTCAAAAACTGGTGTAATATGAGCCGACGTCCAATGTTCTGGTGCCGTGCCTCGGTCTAGCGTACACGAGAACAGGCTAATTAATTTCATTAGGATTGGAATCGCTTCCCTCAATATAGCGGAATGAACCACACCTGGATCAGGAGAAGCGTCCTTGATTAGGTGCTGCAGTTTCTGATACACCAAACAGCGTTCAGGTTCACTTCCAATAGTTCTGCTGAACTGAAGGTGTAGCTCAATTTCAGGCACTGTTCTTACATCCTCAACTAACTTCAGCAAATAACGGGCAAGTAGAACAGCCTCTACACGTCCAGTGTTAGTTAACGCTACTCGAAAGAGTCCTGGGTGATTTAAGTGCTTGGAATCCTTCTCCGCGAGTTAATCGTGTAACGGTCAGGGGAACAGTTTTGGGGAAACCCGATCACCACGACAAGATAACAGCTACGTTCAAGAATAACTAGAGTATAAGTAGGTTGGTAGGAAGACAAGGGTGTGGCTGTATCGCGGTAACCAATTCTGGTTTATATTATTCAGGGTAGGGGAGTTGTGTTTAATTGGCATATTTGGTTCTCTCATGATCTTATTAATGGTTACAGGGATTATGCATCTTATTGCCTTAAGACATTATCAGACGTGATTCACAACCAAAACCTCAAAGGCAAACCCAATGGTTTTTTCCCTAATGTAGACATTAGGATGTACTTTAAAATCTTCATTATCTTGATTTATACGCCAACCAATTAGTTTACTTCCTAATAATGCGTCTTCACTGGATTTTCGTTCCGTATTGCCCAATGCATTATTTAGTGGAAAAATTTATGCCTTTAAACTCATTAGTTGATCTTTCTGCAGGACCTGAGCAGCTCAGCATTTACGACGGTGACACTCGATCCTTTTTAACTTTGTGAATGCAGCTACAGCCGTCTAAAGAATTTTTGGGGAACACAGTTGGGAAACCCAAGTTTGCTGAGAGAGTATAACAACGTCGATGACATGGCGTTGCCGATTTGTAGTATATCCTCAGCAGTGTTGGTGCATGTTCTATCGATACCAATGTTGTCGAAGACCCTCTTACTTACTATACTGAGCATGTTTGTTTGTTTGTTCGTTTAAGGACTGCCTTTATCAGGGTTGCTGACTTTTTTCGTACACTTGTCAATAGAAAGATTAGGCTCAGCAAGTCCTAGGCATTAATGTTAAATGTGCCCCACACTCAAATAACACCTGGCTTGTTAAGTTTCTTGTAGGCAGTTACTGTAACATCTGTGAGTGCTTAGTGAAGGCAAACTTTGTATTTGTCACACTACATAGCACAGGTGATAGTAAAACAACATCCAGGTCGCTTATATGAGATTTTCATGTCCATGGTGAAACGCGAGTTGCTAGATTGATCCTAGCAAACGTTTACGACTGCGAAACAAATCACAGAACACTCAAAACGAATAAAATATTTGATTCAAAAGTTTGAGATATACTATCATCGACGTGTAAAACTATGAAGACCAAATAGTAAGTTAAGGCGAGACCACAGTTAGCTGTTAACTCATGTAAAACTCAAAAAGAAATGCAAACTACCGAGCGTTAAGGTCGGGATAGATTTTTCGGACTCAAAACGTTGTTCTTGTTGTATAATGATGCAGCAGATGTTTAGTAAATGCAAATCAATTTGTACCAATCTTCTTGATCGCAAAGCGCTCGTATTCGTTTATATAAAAGAACATTTCGAATGATAAAAACTTAAAGCAAAGGTGACGTACCAAGCTGGGAAACATAAATTTATTAAAAACAATTGTTTGAGCAGACCTTGAAGGCGGGAAATTCGCACTCAAGGTTTTTAGGTTAGGATGACGTATCAACTGTCAGGATCCACTAGCAGTATATATATATATACATCAAGCCAATTCTCTGTTTAATAACCGTTAGATCATTACAACCAGGCTATTTGATGAGGCACTCTTGTACGCTTCATCATAATGCAGTTCAACTACTGTTGTGGGGCAGTCTCATAGGTCCCGCAATTAAACAAGTCTGTCATCCAGTTTTCGTACATTACCTTCTGCAGTTGAGTTAAGGTTGATTAGGAAAACTATACTTGCTCATTTAATTAACGCAAGATAATAGACGAATTCGAAAGCTCGAGTTACGTACTAAACTTATCACATGGCTTACATGTACGCTTTTTGCATCCACCTAAACTCACTTGGAGTCGTAATAACAAGTAAGACCACTGCACAAAAAAGACTTGTATGACCCTTCTACCTTTGTCACTATATATTATTCTGGGGCAGGTTACAGTAAATGTACTCACTATTTTTCCAAATTTATATTGACTTCTGTTTTACATAATTGTAACCCTCGTCTCCTCATATTCATGTGACTATGATCGATAGTCGAGACTTGGAAAACGTTCCACCGATTCTTGTACGATACTTTTGTAACCAGACGATACAGTATCAAAATGTTTCAAATCATCCACAAATAATCATTCTGAATATCAAAATCACTATTTTTCCTCTCCTGTAATTCACTTCCTTATTACTCTCTATTTCATCAACGAAAGACTAGTCACTTTAAAAAAGTCCTTTGGATTTCAACAAATAAAGTGTAGTTTATGCTGGCAATTCGTTGACAATACGACGAGAACTGTACTTAAACAATCTTCGTGAGTGCTAATCAGCTAAAAATACTCTGAAATCAGCCTGATTCACAAAAGCAGACGACCAGTAATAAGACCTGGTTTCTGGGGCTGATCTTCTTAGCAAGACACTCCCGATGGTCTTCATTGTTCTTTATTTTAGTTAATAATTAATTGTTTTGCCTTATAGGATTTATTTAATGAGGAATGGCAATATGTGACCCAAGAGAGGTTTGCTTTGGTGCCGGTAGTCTAATACTTTAGGAGGAAGCTCAAGTGCTAAGATCAATTTTCGATGAAGAAGAATTGTCGATATCAGACGATTATAATTTGGAATACAAGGTTAGTTTTACTTTTTTGAAAAATAATTATTATATAGGTAGGTGAGGCGGGAACGACTTCTTCATTCATTGTACAAGTTTACTGGCCTGAAGGATATCCTGACGTTCTACCTTGTATCTCTATGGATTCTTTTTATAATCATCATATCCCTTTAAATGTTAAAGAGAAAATAACTGAAGAATTAGTGTCTGTTGCTAAAGACCAACTTGGCTCAGCTCTAACATTTACTTTAATTGAGTACCTAAAGGAAAACCATGAGCGATTTACTAAATCTTTTGCAGTTGATAAAGTAGATACATCACAAAACAATTCGTTCCCGAGTGAAACCCCATCGGTATGTCTAAATTGTTTGACATTTTTATACATTGTTTATATAGGTTTCTCGCAAACAGAATAAACTACCTCAATTATCTAAAAATCAAAAAAGGAAGCACCTAGATAGACTAGGACAAAGTGGAGAGTTACCTAGAGGTTGGAACTGGATTAGTGTTATAAAACACCTTCAACAAACTGGATCGGCGTCATAGAGGCATATTTAGTTGTATTTCATTGCACACAAGATAAGATTCTATTTGCTTTCACGTTTCATATTCATTGACAATGGGCTAAAATGATAACGGGGTTATGCGTTTCTGAATAATGTATTTTACTAATTAAATGTAATTTACAAAATAGTGCAGGATGCTTTTTTGAAAGGTGTCAGAATACGATTTAGTATATTACTCGTCGGTGTCCTGTTGTTATTTCGGATATGCACCTGTAAATAGTACACTTCGTTAAAACAGGAACTATACCTTCATATTTTTCGCTTGTTGAAGTACTAGGTGCAATAGGATTTCTGCATCTAATAACAGAAGCCCCCTGGGGAGTATTACATAATCTTTTCATCCAATGTAGTAGTATGATATTCCCATCAGTAGTTTACGTCGTATTAAACGTCGTTGGAAGTAATACGTGTATATGCAGTTAGTATATATCGTATGTGCCTCAGAAGTATTGCTTAGATGTGGCGGAATTGTTGAATAAGTGATCGAAACATGAGGTAGGGATGCCTAGTTATCGCTTTGACTGACGTAAGAAAAAGTTGTAAAACGGTTACAAGTTGATAGTTCAAGATATTGGCTCGGTTCATTAAGTCGTTGTATATCGTTTCCCTTCATGGGATTATGCGGGCCATGACCGGCGTACCCACCATTAATACTTGTAATTTGAATCTATACTTTCAATGCCTTTCCCTAGGTTATATGCTTTAACTTTGTCCTCTGGTGCCGTTTCTACCCCCTTTTGACCAATCATCTTAAAACTACAGGCGAAATAGCACAGAAGTTACTTCATACTCAAAATTCCTTATTGTATGAAGTATGGAAATGCTAGTCTAATATCTGAAGGTTTTTCAACACATATGCGCAATTGACTTCACCTCCTCCTTTCTGTATTTCCATTACGAAAAACAAGTACTGTATATTTGACTGACCTTTAAAAGCCTCACATTTTACAACCAAACATGCACTTACTCTATATGTCTTTCCCCACTTCTAAGTCAGCACACAGATAAACGCAAGTATCTTGTTCTTGTTGTTGTAACTGCTATCTCGTTTATGAAACTTCTTTTCTGAACGACCGGAAACTTCTATACAGACCCTAAAGTTATCCTAAAATCCGAATGATTATATATAATGATGAATTTCATACACTAGCGTTTTCATGGTTCTTAATAGGATTCTTTGGATTAATCTAGATCCTGATTTTAAGAATAAAAACATCTTACCAACTCATATACCACACGTTTTATCTATATAGACTAACTTGGTTCGCAAAAAATTGAATTATCTGTGAGGAAAAACATTAACTTGGAAGATAAGGCTAATTTCTTATAATAACTTAATGACTCGTGATTAAGAAACGTTTTTACCTAGAATAAATCTTTGGTAAAATTAGATAACTGTCACTAACAGTTCATTTACATATCAACAGCTACAGTCTATTTGCGCAAACTAAATTGTTAAAGGTTAGTTGAATTGATCTAGCTACCATCAAACATCACACTGCCTTTGAAAATTTATTACCATAACACAGTAGTTTACTAGGTTCTATCACATTAAATTTGAAAATTAGTTACGTCACATTTGTAACTAAATATCAAACTTGGTGCCAGTACAAAGATGTTGAATATATCTTGTGGTCAATGTGTAGAAGTAACAGTAGTTTCTTTCTGGGCTTGTTATAGCTTTCGGTTAATCAATATAAGCTTATCATCTAGTAAGTATTCCCGACTCTTACTGCTATTATTGTATTTTCAAATAATTTATTTAGAAAATTAAAACGATCGCATTTATAAAAATATAATTTCATCGAGAATATTTGCTTTAAAATCAATGTCTCATTCTATGATTTTACATTGTGAGATCCAACTAAATAGGCTTGGCTTTAATCAGGTCTATGATTTTTTTGAGGATGGCACTGTGAGTTGGACCATCATGCAGACCGAGGAGTGAAGTAAAATGATCTTCATTTGACATGTAAAACGTTTCATAGGTAAATTGCAAATGTGAACCCTGTCCACTTCTTGATGCATTACTCAACAAGTCCGCTAGGGATTTAGATTGTTCCTTCATAGCTGGTGATTCGTACTCTGCCCAAGCAACAATCCAATGAAGTGATTTACTGAGCAGTAGATTTGGACCGTCTTGCATGAAGTGTCGGATTGGACTGACAGACAAAGCCTCCCCAACCGTTTTGAACTTTATTGCTTTATTTACGTAAGTGTGGATAATTGGACGTAGGTCATAAACTCCTGACATTAAAACAAGGTTTTGCAAACAGCATAGCCAATTATTGTTTGATTTGAGTTCCATATGAGCCCAATATAACATTTCCAGAACTAAGTGCGCACCGGCAGAATGTCCAACTAGGGTTATGCGGAGCTTCGTATAATCTAAGTTACCTAACATTTTATGCGTAAGAGTTATAACTTTTTGCATTCCGAGACATAGGCTTTGTGGCATCGCCTCCAACTTTTCTTTTGGAGCTAACCTGTAAGACAAAGAGACGAATATACTGTCAGCATTTGTAACAGGAACTGCCCAACTACTGGATTCTTCCCAACCAACCAACTGCCAATACCCTCCATGAACATAGACAACAATATTGGTTGGGATTATTGATTGATCACTTGGAGGAAACCAATCTAAAGCATACTCTCCGTATCCGTCTTCTTTAAATAGCATAGATTCATTAAACGGAACTTTAAAAACACCTTTGTCTTTAAACAACGTCCGTGAAAGTTCACTTTGTTTGCGTAAGAGAGACATAAGTTGTCCTCGCACATCATCTCCAAGGCAAAATGGCTCTCTGGTCTTAATAAGCCAGTTTGCAGTTCTGTATTGATAATCCAATTCATCAACAATTTCCGGTAATTGGGTTTCTGATGGATCTTCATTTACAGTACCCATGGATTCCGTGCTAATTGCCTAAAAATAATGAACGAAAATTCGACTTACTAAAATCCATAGCTCAATAAATAAAGAGGTTAGATGGTTGATCTTAATGTATTCAGCGTTAAAAAAAACCACCCACAGAATGTAAACGTCTCAATGTAACATATTAAATTCCTAATATATATTATAAGACTAGGTGGGAAACACTTACCAAATCAATAGAAAAAGTCCGTTAAAAACCAACTGTAATTCAAGTTACGTCTCACTATATTTCAATTAGAAAAACCGACCTGATGAAGGTAAGTTAAGAAAAAACCATGTTAATGCTGGCTGAGTAGTCGATTTCAGATCAGTCGTCTCTAGTGGAGGTACCGAAAAAAACATGCTACTGATATCGACAGATATAAGTAGTATGTATCACCATTCAAAAGTGAAGTGCCGGGCGGCAGAAAGTTAATAAGACCGAAGACAGCGAGGACAAAAATGATTGGTACAGAAACGAAGGAACAATGAAGTCTGAGACAACTGATTGACATTTTGCAATCGAAGTATTCACTGTATGGTTCTCAGATTTTACTACGACGTTCTGTAATTTTGCGTCCAAATACATTCAATAGTCTCCACTTGTGTTTTCGTTTATTACATTTGGTGTCGCTGCCAATCAGGAGGGGGAAGGGTGCTGTATGACGCCATTTACATTTTATTTGCAGTGACAAGATATTCAAAATTAGTTTATGTATAGACGTTAGTAGGTATGACGTATTGTAATAGGCTATTGCGCCACATGTTCGTGAATATATAATAATGACGAGATATAAGGGAAAAAAATTAAACATACTTTCCCTAAAAATGAAAAAGACTCACGGGTTCCGAGAAATAAATTTACGAATGAAAAACAGGGTATAGATAAGCTATTAAATTTATTTGAAAAACTGGTTGACATGACATAAACGAAAGTTTGTCTTAAAATAATTATCACGAATTCAGCTAGAATTGTATGAACATATGTAAGTGACAAACATAGGTTTCATTCGTCAATACTAAATAGTCGACAACAACAGGGAGTAGTCTTCATGTGCTGGAATTTCTCGGATTCGGAAAGAGACACCATCTCCTTGACTAAAACCGAAAAAAATAAAATAATCGTTAAAATGATTAATAAGTATTTAGTTGATTTAATAGTATTTGTTATCATTGGGTTACATCTACTGGAGGATGTACAGTAATGGACTTAAAAGTTCGAGCACCCAACTTTCGATCTGTAGGTTGTGGTTTCAAACATTACTTACATATACTTCTGTAATCGAGTAGTATCGCTGATGGTCGTGTAGAAAAGTTGTTGCTGCCTTGAGGTGGTGGTCGGGCTTACCTATCGTGATGAACTAGTCAAGCTATACTGGCTTGAACAATCGTTCCTCAAGATCCCACTATGCTAGACACGTCGGTTAATGAGCGGTAAGACTGAAAGCAGCAAACCCAAGGTCTGAGGGCGAAGTCGTACTACTGACTGTACAGAGGTGTGACAGCAGTAAGGTGTTTCCTTCAGACAACCAACATCACAGCGATGCTGCCTTCCCACAAGGAGGGGTGGGGCCAGAAATGGTCGACCCTAAAGATGCACACCTCACCTTATCCCACGGATACCCGTCTCCGGCGGTAAGGTCTCAACAAGTACGGAGCTAACACAAAAATTACCCATAAAAAGGTCGTGTGTGACCGACCTCAAGTAGTTGTCCCTCGAGCACTACGGTCACGCTCTCAGGTCACTAAGACCACCTCTAATTCAGTTTGCTTTTCAGGTACCTCTAGAAGAACCCTTCCACGATGTGGGCAACCGAGAAGTGATAACCACCCTCATACCTCTAACAGCACTCAAGACCACTGTATTCATAATCAACCTCCCCTCTTCAATTCCCATTATTCCTCCTACATCGACTTTCAATTTCCTCTTTTGGCTTCCTCCTGAAGTTTAGCTATAGCCAACGATTCTAGTGCCCAAAACACTGTCCCAGGTCTATTGAAACCTCGCTCCAAACTACACATTGGAGCCTTCAACGTACGCACCCTATGTCAAATCGGTCAGCAGGCTT